AACGACCCCTCCCCTCCCTCTGAGATGCTGTTGTGGAAGCACCGCGGTGGTTACCCAGCGCAGTACCGGCACAGTAAAGTTATTTTGTGGCTTGAAGTGACGCAGCCGTGCTCCAGCTGCCGGTCGGGACCTTTAGGAAAGCACTGCTCGCTGCCCCGTGCCTCTCGCCGCAGGGAGGGATCCATCCTGCCCGTTTCGCTGTGGCTGGGCTGCAGGACTCCCCTCCGCTCCATGCCTCCTGCCTTACGCGGTTCTTTCTCACTGGGGTTGTGTCCAAGGCTCAGATCCCCAAACCTCCGCTTCCTTTGTGTCCCCGCACACAGGGACAGTGGGGACCCTTCCTCCCCTGGGGGCTGTGCTGATACTCGGTGGGAGCCTTTCGGGAAGCCCACCCCAGGTGCCTGGCTCCCCCCTTGCTGCATGTCCCCAGCGGACGGGAGGCAGCACCGGATCCCCTGGAGATGCTCCGAAAACTGGGCAGAGGGACCTGGGGCACAGGAAAGGGCTGCGGGGGATGTGAAAAGTCCTGAAGAGGGTTCTGGGGGGCCCAGAAGTGCAGAGGGGAGCTTTGGGAAAAACCCCACGGGGAGCAGGGAGAGGCACTGGGGGGGCTCTGGGCCCGCTGCGAGAGTTGCAGAGATCTCAGGGGTGCTGGAAGACTCGGGGAGGACTCTGGGGTGCAAGGGGAGGCAAAAAGGAGAGATTTGGGGTACAGTGATCATGCTCAGAGGACTCGAGCACCCCAAAACACACCTGGAAGGCTCTGGGGTGCTCACATACCCACACACACAGACATGGGGGGCACTGGGGTGCGGGGAAAGCCAAATGCTGGGCTCAGCAGCACTCCAGAAAAAAACTGGAGGGGTTTGCGGGGCTGTTAGAAGGAAAATGCGGGGCTGGGGTACGCGGTGCAGGGCAGGTGACGGGTCACCAAGAGCCACCTCCGCGCCATGCAGGGTCTGTGCCGGCCCTGGGGGGGATCCTCATCCCTGGGAACAGCGGGAGCGGGGCTTTTATCCTCATCTGTATCCGGAGGAATCCATCCTCATCTGTTCCTGGTTATCCTTGTCTGGGTTTGGAAGTTTGCTTGGCTGTGAAAACTGTCTCTGTGTTCCTGGATTCTGGTAAGGTTTTACTGATTTGTTGGTGGTTTTTCTGGTAAGAATTAACTGAGCTGTTAACGGGTTTTGATTTTAAGCCGTTGTGTTCGAATTCTGGTTGTTTGGATTTTGGTTTGTTGGATTTTGTGATTTGTAAAAATGGGTGTGGGATCTTCCTCCCATGGAGAAAGTTGGAAGAAATCACCTCTGAGGTTGTGTTTTAAAACACTGGCGGCAAAGCAGCGCACCCCCAGGTGGGGTAACTCCCTGGGAGAATTTAATGAAATGAACCCCATCCCTGGAGGGGTTCAAGGCCAGGCTGGATGAGGCTTTGGGCAACCTGGGCTAGTGGGAGGTGTCCCTGCCCATGGCAGGGGGTGGCACTGGGGGGCTTTAAGGTCCCTTCCCACCCGAACGGCTCTGGGATTCTATAAAAGGGGACATTTGTTGCCTTGCTGTGGCTCTGGGTTGATAGGGTCACAGCCTGCCTGGATGGTGGCTTTAGGGTGGCCTCTGCCTGGGGACATTCATGGGGAAACGGTGGCCCCCGGCTCTTTCCCACAGGTAAATACCTGACTCCACACCCTGCACTTCTCAGAGCTGCTGGAGGTGAACCAGGAGGGCACCAAAGCCAGGCAGCGTGTCCCCGTCCCTGAGTACCTGCTGAGCGTGTGTGTCCGTCCCTGTCCCGGCCACTGCGTGTGTCCTTGTCCCAGGTGGGGCTGTGTCCGTGGGTCCTGCACTTCGATGTCTTGTGCTGAGTCCCCAAGGGCTTGGATGCAGGGGGCAGCCCCGGGGCTGAGGAGGACATCGCTG